GAGAGCAAGCCCTGGAATTCACTCTCTCTCTCATTGGTCCCAAGTGAGTCATGTGTCTGTCCCTGAACAGATCACTGGGGTGGGGGAGTGGCCCATACCCAGGAGCAAGTGGTGTGGCCAATCCCAACCAAAGCCCCAGGCTGAGAAATTGGGAGAGGTGATTTCTCAAGGGAAAACAGAGATAAGGTTGATCTGAAAAGGGAAAACGGATGCGAGGACGCACTCAGCAAATGTCCATTCTAGTATTCGTTCATTGATTTAAAATTTTGTCAAATACAGTTTAGGAGCTTGTGCTACACCAGGGAGTTAAAAAAAAAAAAAGAATCCCTATGGCAAATGCTGTTGATGTCCCCCTCAGAACAGCCCTTTGACTCACCTATAACTGTGGTGGACAGTTCCTATTCTCCAAGACTGTGCAACTCTCTGCTTCTCATGTGAGGACTTTTTCTGGCACTGTGGAAGCTTGTCCAGCCCATGTACAAGGTTGCCTGGATGTGCTTGGGTACACTGGAAGTTTAATACCTTCAGGGCAACCTACAGCCAACAAAGATCACAAGTTGGGGACAAAGAGAGAAACCTCCAGTGTTTCTATCTCTAGATAGGAAATTTCTGAGTCTGGTTTGATAGGGCTTTTCAAAGGATCTCCAAAGACCATTGCCCACAGCGGTCATGGGCTGGTTAATGCAACCTTTATTGGTTTCACTCCCTTCTTCCTCTCTCTTCCAAGACTCCCTCTCTGTGCTCTTCAGGATCATGTCCCAAATGAATGACCAGCACCAAAGCCCCTTTCTCAGGATCTGCTCTCAGTGGAACCCAAACTCAGACCATCCCTGCCTTCATGGACTTACATTCTAATGGAAGAGGGAGACACATAAAAAACAAGGTCAGTGAGCAAACCCTGTAATGTTAGATGGAGATGGATGTTATGAAGGAATAGAAAGTGGGGAAGAAGATAGAGCGTCAGGGGGAGTGTGGGCCTGCTGTTTCGCACGGGGCTCCAGGAAGCATGTGAGTCAAGACCAGAAGAAGGTATATCAGTCAGGTAGAGCTCTGCTATGCTAAGTTAACAAGTAACCCCCAGATCATAGTGGCTCAGAGGTTCATTTCCCACTAAAACTACATGTCCCTTGCAGGTTAGCAGGGGACTTTGCTCCACACAGCTTCCTCTAGTAGCCACCAGAAGAAACATTGCTGGTTGTCATGAAGACAGAAAAAGAATCCTGGAAGGTCTCCCACCATCAAGTAAAAGTTCAGCCCTGAACTTTGCTGTTTTATTCTTAACTCATGTCCAGAAGCAGCCATGTGGCTCTACCAGCCACAGAAGATGAAGGAAGTACAATTTTCCAAGTGTCTAGGTGGTAGAGAGCAGAAAATAGTTTGAAGACAGACCTAATGATACCACAGTTGTCCTTTCTGATCACTAAACATTTAGGCAAAATATACTCACCCCCTCCCTAAGAGGAAAATAATGTCAATCATGGCCGCAAACTCCCAGTCCATCAGGGGATTATGTGTCTCTGCATCGAGGTTGTTATGGTTTCTCTTGATTAAGAGACCTTTGAACTAAAAAGACGAGTTGTCTGAACCCACCATGCAATACATAATGTCCAGCTTTCAAAGAAAATTACAAGGAATACTAAACAGTAAAATACACAATTTGAAGACACAGGATAAGCATCAGAATCAGACTCAAATATGGCATGGATGTTAAGGTCAGGACTTTAAAATAACTATGATTAATGTGCTAAGAGCTCTAATGGAAAAAAGTAGACAACAACTACAGATGGGTGATATAAGCAGAGAGATGAAAATTAAGAAAAAAAAAATGGTAAAGACCAAAAATACTGTACAGAAATGAGAATGCTTTTGATGGGCTTATTAGCAGACTGGATGTAAACTGAGGAAAGACTCTCTGACCTTAAGGCTATGTCCATAGAAACTTCCAAAACTGAAAAGCAAAGAGAAAAAAAACACTGAAAAAAAATGGAACAGAATATCCACGGACTGTGGGACAACTACAAAATGTGTAATATACACATAGTAGGAATACCGGAAGTAGAAGAGAGAAGAAAGAAACAGAAGGAATATATAAAGCAATAATGACTGAGAGTTTACTCCAAATTAATGTCAGACACTAAAGCTCAGAGATCACTAAACAGGATAAATCCCTCCCCGCCAAAAAAACCCCTATAGTTAGGTGTATCGTATTCAAACTACAGAAAATCAAATTTAAATAAACAGAGGAATCCACTATCATTGCTGGAGACTTCAGCACTCTATCAGAAATGAATAGACCCAGCGGGCAGAAAATCAGTGAAGACGTAGCTGAACTCCACAGCGCCAAGAAGCCGATTCCAAAAGGGCACAACAGAGCAGGCTGGTCTGCAGCAGTCCTGAAACCCTGAGTGGCTACTGCAAGGGGCTCCCACCTGGAGGTGCAGAATGCTCCATGATGAGGCCCCAGTTCTGCTCCCTGGAAGAGGCTCCCCAGTATTGTCTTTTGGGTCCTTGGCTCCATGCTCCAGGAGCTTCTTCCTTCTCCATTATCCTCCTTGGCCATATCAGGATTGGGCACAAAAGAACAGGCTCTCCCCCGGGGGCTGCATTGGAACACGAAGGAACCCTGTGTAACTTCTCAGATTCTCTCCTTCAACCACAGTTCCAGGAATCTACCCTGAAGCTATCCTCCCAAAGTCTGTAACAACACAGACACAAGCTCATTCATGGCAGCCTCGTTTATAATGGGAAAGACTGCAGACAACTCAAATGTTCGGGGGGGGGGGGAGGATTTGATTGCACAAATTACATTCATAGAATGAAATTCTGATGTGGCTGTAACAAGAATGAGCAAGTTCTCTGTGAACCAAAGTGATCTCCAGAATATATTAAGTGGAAAAAAAGCAAGATCTGGAACAATGCATAAAGGATGCCAACTTTTGTGTAAGAAAACGGGGGGAAATAAATATATTTGCTTATTTTTTGCCAAAAGAAACGTTGAAAAATGGCATAGAGAATATAGAGAGGGAGTGAGACTTCTCTCAAGATACCTTTTAATATTGTTTTAACCTTGAAGTATATAAACGCTTTCTCTATTCAAAAATAAAGTTAAATCATCAAGGAAACAAAATGCAGTCCCCACAACTGAAGATGGAGCTATGAGGATTCACTGCCCATTAGACGTGGTATGCAAGAAAGAGAGGAATGCAGACAAGAGACGGAGGAGATGACATTGCCTTTAGCTGATCGGGGTGACAGCGGGAAGAGTTTTGGGAGGACCAGCAGGATCCCGCCCGGGACATGCTAAGTTCAAGATGCCAATTAGACACCGAGTGGAGATGCTGAACAGGCGGTAGAGTGAGTCTGGGGGCCGAGGAAGAAGTCTGGCTACAGATACAAACATGAACGTCGTTGGCATGTAGCTGGGGTTTAAAGCCCTGAGACAGGATGAGATCACTGAAGGGATGTACATATGAATGAAGAAACGCTTGGAGCCTAAACCTGAGGGCCCTAAGTTGTCAACGGTCAGGAAAATGAGGGTGCACCAGCCAGTGAGGCGGGAGGAGAAGGTGGGAGCGGGGTGCCCTGGAAGCCGAAGGGGGAGGGTTTCTCAGAGGAGAAAGTGACCGCTGTGCAAGTCAGATAGAGACCTAGAGCGACCACTGGACTTAGCGACTGACCTGGCGAGAGCCCTTTCCAAGATGGGGAGAGGGGTCCTGACCAGAGATGTTTTAAGGGGGATGGAAGTAAACCTATTGGGGATAGTGAGTGTAGTTATTGCTTTATAAGAGTTCTCTGAAGAGGAGGTGAAAAATGGAGTGACGGGTGGAGGGGAGCACGGGATCCAGGCAGCTTTATGTTTTAAGGTAGGAGCACCAGAGCACATCTGTATGCTGATGGTGATGATCCAGCAGAGAGAGAAAAACGGGTGATGCTGAGAGAGGATGATTATATAACTTACGATATGAGGGAAATGACACTTTGGGAGGCAGTTAGTGGAGGCTGGAACAATGACTTGCCAAGGTCACCAGGCTGGATGTGACCTCACCTCCAACGCCACCACGTTCCACAGGGAGCACAGCAGGGCACTGGCTCTGTCCATAAATGGCCACAGACCTGCAAGCAGTCTCTGCCCCAGCCGCCGTGGAGTCTGGCTGCCTCAGAGGGACAATAAAAGCGAAACCGCCTCCATTAATCAGGGCACGGGATTAGATATGAATGGCTGAAGCTTTGCCAACAACTCCAGCCTGACAGCTGACTGGGAAAATCAGGAGACCCTTGAGCAGGAACATGCCTCTGAGAGCTTCCACGAGCCTATCTGAGAGGGCGGTCACATAGCTTGCATACACAGCCATCGAG